AAATGGGTTCCTATATTCGTACCTGAAAATATATTAAGATTTACAGAAAAGTACACATTTGACGAAAACCCCCTCATAATAAGCTAGAAGTAAGAAAATCTAACTCCTTTTTAAAAAAATAAAATAATAAAATAATAGAGAAGATATTTACCGTAATCTTTCAATAATTAGATAGTAGAGAACATCGGAGATTTAATTGATATGAATCAAAAAAATCTTCCCATCAGCTCTATTTCAACATTTGTAACAGGATTTGCAACTGAACCAGTTCAAAGTGACGATGAACTATTCAAAAGTATTAAGATATTCATTACCGAATTCATCAAAGGTGAAAGCTCAGGAAAAAAATTCCTCATCAAGTGCAGATACCTCAAATCAGATGAAAGAATTGACAAAAAACTTGTGAGAGCAAGAAAAAGCTTAAATTTGATGATTATGGGGGAAATACTTCGAAACCTACACCATTCAAAAAAGCAGACCGACGAACACAAGAAGAGATACATATCAAGACCAACTTGGAAACTGCGTCATTAAAAAAGCCAAACCAATCATAGTATGACACCGATTCCTAAAAGCAACTGACAAAGAACTATACTTTTACCAATTATTACTCAAAAATATCCTGACTTAAAGTGAAGATGAACTAAAAAATAGCCATCTGACATACTGAGACCATTACATCTCAATGTTCTCAAACGCCACAGAAGAAATTCGACGGAATACACAAGACCAGACTGAACAAATAAGACAAATCATGAACCTGAGATACTCCAAAATTCTAGACCAACTACTATTAAACCTAGAGAGCATCATTCCAAAAAAACATAAAGAACATCTTAAGAATTCAACTCAATTCCTTAAAAATCCTTCCACCAATACTCCCTGAAAACACCATCTACCAACTACCATACGATCAATACCTCACTATATCCATCCTCAGTTCCTTTTTAGGAAGAAGAAGCGCATGAAAATACCCCTATTTCTTCATCACTGGGTCTGCCAGAATAGGAAAATCCTACCTTCTCCACCTACTAATAAACTCGTTAAAAAATGACAAACTAAATTACCTCCTAATGGCACCTATCAGCATCGCTGCTCAAAATATAGGAGGAAGCACCATCTACTCTACCCTAAAATTATCTTCAACACAGACAGGTTTTCGTACTCTAGCACTTCATGATAACGAACTCAAAGACAAACTGAGAAAGATCAATGTAATAATAATCGATGAAATATCAATGGTATTCGCAGAACTCAAATTTTATCTCAAACACATTTGCCACTATCTACTAAAACACCACAGCCTTCAAAGGTATTAGTATCATCATCGCTGGAAACCTAGCTCAACTACCACCAGTAAGTGGATCCCAAGTATTTAAATCCTCAACATGGAAACTATTCCACCCACTCATCCTACACCAACCTCAACGTAAATAAAGCCAGTTTGAATTTTACGACATGCTACAAAACATACGTCTAGGCAACTTAACCGAAGAAATCTGGGAAAAGTTAAGGAACAAATACGAACAATTCGACACTAACAGGCCGATCGAACTCCTATTCAATACAACAAATATAGTAGGATACTATGAAACTGCAGACAAGATAAACTGACTAGTCTGCAACATCCTACCAATAACTCAAAACAAATTCATCATCTCCCGAGCCATCGACACTATAAACGAAAAACTCTGAGATTCAGACATAACAGAAAAATCCTTCAAATCAAAAATGAACCTACCATCCACCGTACGACTTCAACAAGACGCAAGAGTAATGTACCTAAACAATTCCAAAGCAAGCCTCAACATCTACAATGGTACAATCAGAATCATCATAGACATCGATAAAGAGACAAACCTAGTCTGAGTCTCATTCAACGTACCAAAAGGAATCATAGACACAAACATCGAACCAACCACTAATTACTTTACCATCAATGGCAATCAAGCCAGCTGCTACCAGTTCCCAATCCAAAACTCCTACACCCTGACCATTTACAAGACTCAGGGTCTCACCCTAAATGACATCTCCGTAAGCCTAGACAATCAAATTTTCTCATCAGGACAAGCATATGTTGCACTAAGCAGATGCCCTAATTGGAATCACGTACAAATCAGCACACTCAAAAGAACTGCTTTTATAACTGACCTGAACGTTATCACAAAATACTAAAGGCTCGAAAAAATACCCAAAACTCCCTACCGATCTAACCATACTCACAACAAAAACAACAAAACAAAAAAAAAATAAAATAAAATAAAATAAAATCTCCTTCCACGTCAATAAATATCAAAAACATCAAAAAACTCTGACTACAAAACCTCCTTAACCCCTAAATCAAAAAAAAAAAAATAATAATAAAACATACCCTCTAAAATAAAACGAAACAAAAAAAACTCACCAAACAGACAAAACATCACATACATTGTACACTCCTAACTTTACCACCCTATTACACAATATTTAATAGATCCCACAAAAATCACATTTAATCTCTCCAATTTCTTCTATCCTTCAATTTAATCACTTAACGAAAAATAAAATAAATAAAAAGCAACATTTTTTTATCGATAATAAAAACCGATCAACAACTTTTTTAATATCATCATTTTTTTTCCTAAACTAATGAAAAAATAAAATATGATGTAGCACAAGCGCAGACAGTCACGTAACACAAAAAACACAGAAAAAAGAAAGTGTGATGCTTAAAATGCTTTACTAGTTATTATAATATAATAAACGATTCGAACATGTGTATACGTAATAATATTGCAAGTTAGTATATCATGTGATGACGGATCAATATCTCAAATTTGCCGCTAAAAATGTTATTTGTTGGAACTAAGTTGTATGCACAGTATTATAATCTTTGAAAATATTGAACTTATCTAAAGAAACTACTAATAGACTTACAGTATAAATAAATCTATAATACAAAGAAATATCAAAGTAAATTTTATATGAAACTATTATAATACTATCAATGATTTTATTTACTATCAACCAATTTTATTTATCTAAAAAAATATATAATTAACTAGGGAGGTCTGAGGTATATCCCGATGTCTAAATCTTTTGGAGAATCAACACGAAAGAACCTAAATATGAAAAAAAAAATCAACAGTTACTGTGCCCTAAAGCAAATAATAATAATAATTTAATAAAAAATTTTTACTTTATGACCCAACCTGAAAGAAATAAAAAAAATTTACCAATTAGATTAAATTAAAAATAAAACTCAACCATACAATCTGTCAGATTTTCAAAATTATATTGAAAAATAAAGTATATTTTTTTTTTTTTTTTTTTTTTTGTCTTTTGTTTATAAATTTGTTCTTTTGTTTATTAAAAAAAATAATTATAATTTTAAAAGTAATCAAATAAATGTAGGCGTATTTTTCGGTATTAGGTAAATATTTTAAAAAATATAACCGTCTTTCTGCCATTTTTATAGATTTTTAGATGGTGTCAGGGCGTAGCGTAAGTATTTTTTCTAAAATATTATAAACTATTAAGCTTAAAGCATAAAACTATAAGCTATAAAAATGACAGAAAAGTCTAGACTATAGTTGGTAATACTGGTATATTTATCCATAAAAATTTATGTTTTATTGGAAAATCAATCCTTTCTAAATCAAGTTAAGCAATAGCTTTATTATTATATACACACAATAATTTATTATGATACTTTATTAAGTAAATAATGTTCCTTAATTCAATCTACATCTATTTATAATAAAAAATAAATTTTTTTGGATGTCGATTTGGTCTCTTTCACTCCAATTATTAATAGATTTGCTCTCAGGTCAAGAAAAATTCTCAACTCTGTTCTATTAATGAAATGAATATAAATTAGAAAGATTTTGTATTTTATCCATTTTTTTTTAAAATCCAAATTTTTGGTTTTTCGTATAAATCTTTAAAAAAAAAAAACCTTTTGGGACTTTGACACGATTTGATTAATCCAGTTGTAAAACAAGTTAAAGGTGAAACGAGACATAGTGTTAGATGAAACTAACATTTTTCTCAAGTAACATTTTCTGATCAATAGATTGGGGCTTTAAGATCTTTATCAAATTAATCCTCACTTTTGGTACCAGTGTTGGACTTTTGGACTAATGGACTTTTGGACCATTGGACTGCTGGACTAATGGACTTAGTCCATTCCAATTCCATTAAAATTTGAACTATTAGACTATAGACTTCGTCTAACAACTATAAATTTTTAGTAATATGTAAATCATTCTTTTGATATTTGTTATAATTTTATTAAATTTACTAATTATTACTTAATATAAAATTTGACAAATAATTAGGTTTCCCTAAACTCGCAATATAAATATCTAGATGTTTCCATTTAAAATTTTGACCTCTACTCTAGCAGGATGAGGTAAATTTGAAATGTTTGTAATATTAATCTTAAACTTTTTGTCACCTGAATAATTAAGATCAATAGAATCGTTCTGGTTGAACGATTTTATTATCGTACAATTAGAATGATTTTATTATCGATCATTCAAATTGAACGATTTTATTAAATTTTTAAGTTAGGCTAACATTATAAATTTGGCCAGAATTATAGTATATAAAATTATGATTTGGCCAATATTATATAATTATAGTCCATTTGAATTAGAATTAGACTGGACATCTCCATTAGGTCCAAAGTCCAATAGTCCATTATTGGGAATTGGACAAGGTCCAATTCTAACATTGCTTTGGTATGGTTGATGACCTCAAAAAGCTCGTTAAAGTTGCTCATGAGAAAGACATTGAGTTATGGTTAACGTAGTGCCATATGTTTAATCTACATTTTGGTTATAACATTTTTTTTTGATTTTGGTATTATAATGAACTTTTTTATTTTTATGTTAGAAATCACATAGATATATGGAATAGAAAAACTCTCAGAATATATAATTTATAATCCATTAAATAAATAGAATATTTTCACTTTTAATAAAGATCACAGAAATAGGAATGTTAACGGGTTAGTTTTAGTCTAATTTTTATCAGTTTGAGGGTAAAATCAAACTGTAGACTGATTTGTAAATGGATTCTAAACCAAAATTTAGACTGAAGTAGTGATGGGACTTAAAAATTATTTTGAATTTTTCTTAATTAATAAATACTTATTAAGTTAATAATTGAATTATTAATATTAAAAATTCTGATTGGTCAATTTTAATAAAAATCACATGATATATTTTTCATCATAAAAAAAATTCTATGGTTTATTTATTTATATTCTGCATCCTTTAATCTTTAATATTTATAATATAAAACTAATTCCTTTAACTTTTGCTGTTTTAATTAACTGAAAGTTAAAGAGTTCAAGTAAAGTAAGAGATTCTAAATTATTATTGGATTCAAAAATGCTAATATCATCAATTATTCTTGCTGATATTTCCTCTAAATTATTCATTAGTTTATCCACATCCATATTATTTTTATTCGACACATTACCATTATTATTAATATCATCCAATTCAATATTCAAAAAATCTTGAGTTTTTTTAATCTTATTAGTAAAAGATTTTTCTCTTAGATATCATATTATTTGTGCATTTTAGCAGTTTTATTTAGTGATAAACAGTTATGTCATTCTGTATGTATATTACCTATAAGAGACCACACCCTTTCTTATGTTGCTGAATTTGATGGAATTGAGAAAAGTCTACAAGCAAATTCAGCCAAATTAGGAGCTTGAAATAAAACAATTCGCCAATATCTTAATGGAGTTTTAATAAGTTTTGAGCTATTTAAAGATTCTGTTTTAAAAAGACCTTCCCAATTTAATAATCCAACTATTCATTTATAAATGCATCACTATCTTTATCTAGATATAATGTACAAAATAATGAATAAGCCATTTCTAGAATCTGTAATAATTTTTCTGGATTTATTCCTTTTTTATGATGATATAGATGTAAAAACCAAGTAATAATAAAAATTGGACTGTAAATTTTTTTCACCTATTATCAATTTCGTTTGCCATTAAAGTTTTAAATTCACTTGCATTAGGGGTAATTTATCAATGATTCTTTTTAACCACGCCCATATTGATGCAACTTGTTCTTGTTCAGATACTAATATCATAATAATATGATCATATGGCTTTAATAAATCATAAAATATTTTAAGTTTTTCCCAAAATCAAAATTTTCTATGACATTAATTACACGATATTTATCTATTCTTCTATTTGTAATTAAAAGACTAGTGTGAGCAATTGCCATAACCTAATAAAAAAATTAGTTTAAATTATTGAAATTTATAATAATAAATATACTTTAAAAATATTATACTTACTCTTATACTATCTTTAAGTGATAAAATAGTTTTTGCAGCTTTAGAAAAAGTTGCTCAGCATGTGATACATGGATAATGAGGAGTTAAATTTGGATTTTCTGATATTTCTCACAATTTTGCCAAAGCTAGATTTAAATTTCGAAAATGGTTGATAATAATTAAAAGTATCTTGATAATAGATTCAAAAATTGATGAATTCACAATTTTTTTGACAAGCAGATTAGTTTGATGAACTATACAAGGCATAGTAAGAATTCTTCTACCTATTTCTAAATCCTTTATTTTTAGAAATATGTAAATTAATATTTGTTAAATTAAATTAAAACACAGCAATGATAAAAAAAAACTTACTTTATGCATAAGACGTTATGCTTTAACTATATCTGGTCCATTATCAGATACAAATTCTATCCATTTATCCATTCCAATATCCATTCCAATTTCTTTATATGCCTTAAACATAATATCTCTGGTATGATGAATATTTGAAAAATTTTCTTCTTTCCAAATTTGACTTTGACGTTTTTCATTGGTAAGAATAAAATTAACCATACCCATCTCCTGATAAAGTCAAAAAATTTAGCTTCTATAGCAAATTTTTGTATTTCATGTTTAATTTCTTCGTGAACTTGATCTAATATTTCTGTACTAATCCATTTTCTTGATGGAAGATCATATGAAGGTCGTATCATCTTAAACAATTTAATAACTTCAGGATCATCTACAAAAGAAAAAGGAATATTTGCTGAAAGTAATGCGCGTAATAATTGGCAATGTATTGCTGTCATTTCATTTGCAGGGATACTCTTATCCACAAAAGATTCCATGGATTTTTGTGTATTATGAGCTTCATTTTCATCTAAATAGAATAAATATAAAATAGTAATTTTATTATATATTAAGTTCAGAATGCTATTAAATAATAATTTGCGAAATAAATACCATTGTCATTATCACTTAATTCAGCTTCTACACGAGGACGTTAATTCTTTTTATTTTATTATTTATATATTCTAAATTATGAAGAGTATGACGAACTTCTTCACTAATATTAGAACACTCTTCTTTGAGATGTTTTAACATATTAGCAAGTACACCATTTTTCCGTAACAATATCTATATTGTGCTTCATAGTGAGAACTATTAAGCAATGGACCTTTAATAAAGTGAAGCCAAATTAGACCTTTTTTTCTTCCTTACTTTTTTTTTGGTAGCATTTTTTTAAGTATATATAGTTAGAATAATAAATGCGATTACACGAACTTGATTATGTGAAATGCTAAATTGATTATCGATCGATTTTAATAAGACTAAAATTACGCGAAATTATTAGCCAATCATTATTTTTAACTAATTATTAATATATTTTAATTTACATAACATAGATTAAAAAAGCAATAATCACGAACTAATTATTAAGTACTTATTAATTACTTATTAAGTAAAATTATTAAGTTAAAATTAAAAAATCCCATCACTAGACCGGAGTTTATTTATATATATTGTATAAAACCTTAAAAGACGAAATTAAAAAAAAAATGTAGAATTGTGCGACACAAAGTGCAATGCGTGTTACAAAAATTTTATTAAAAAAAAAAATTTTTTTTTGCGATTTATCTATTGACCTGAAATAATTTCGCCTTATTATGCATCCTCACAATTTTAATACAATTTACGCGACACCATTTAATAAATTAAAATCGGTTCGACTCGGTTCAGTTTCAGTTCGACTTGATCCTCAGATCAAACCGAAACCGGTTCTATGATCAGACCACAGACAGACAGGTCTGCCACAGACCAATTATTATTATTTATTTTTTAATTTTTAATTTTTAATTAAATTAGAGTTTTTTATTGCTGCCTAACTTTTCTTTTAATTAATTTTTTTTTAATATGTCAATTTAAATATAACGGTGTTATACTTGAAATTATAGCGAACAAAGCAAAACTTTCACAATTCAATAGTATATAAAACCTGCATGAAGATAAAGAAGAAGTTTGAAAGTGTAGAATAATGTTTTATTAAATGTTGAATTTATAAGTTATACAAATTATAAATTAATACTATGCTACGCTGATAAATAATGAAAAATAGATAAAATAATGAAAAGTACAATAAATAATGTAAAAAAGTAATCTATATTTTTTGGGGTGGCTGACAACTAAGAAGTCGAGCGAACAATAATATAATTCCTATATAATATCAAAAAGAAATATAATTAATAAGATAAATGTACAGTAAAAAACCCTATTTAATGGACTATAACTAACTAAGATAAACAAACCTGAGACGTTATGCTATGAAAGTTTGACATTTGGCATCCCCTCGGACTTTGAGGAGGGGAGTCAAATTCAACGGGAACAAATTTATATTCTTTTACTTGTGTCTATTGTATACATTATAGTCATCATATGTGGTCTTGATTCCGACAACTTTTTTACGCGGTTATTGGACTTCATTATTTTCACTCGTTTATCACGGTTGGACAACTTGGTTATTTTTATTAGACTCCATTAATATTTCTATTAATTTATTTTTTTATTTTTCAGAGAATTTTGAGAAGAAAAGGCACCTATTTTTGGTTTCCATTTTATACTTGAATTAATTACTGACCATGGAAGTGGAACAAATATTAATTTTAAAACGATCAACAATGAAAAAAAAGTGAAATTAAAAGTAGAAATTTGTATCGGTCTAGAACTTTTGTCTCATAAGCAGCAGTCATTGTACAAGATAAAAAAAAAAAAAAATGGGAGCTACACTTACCATCAATAAATTTTGAACTTTTGAATATCACTGAATTCAATTGCAGTTCATTTAATTTTTTTTGTTTAAAAAAAAAAATCGGGAGAAATGTCCGCTATTTTCCTAAAATGGTAATGATTTTTAGATTTTTAATATTGAACGCCCATTAACAAATATTGATAGATTAATTAAAAAAAAAAAGTAAAGTTCATTGATAAATCCATTTTTGGTTTGATTTAAAAAATATTTACGCAAACTCAAATTCATTTAAGTCTAAACCGGTTTTTTGTCGCGACACAATGAACTTTACTGTAATAAAACTTGGTGTAAATGAGCTCCTTGTGCTAAACATTCTACTAATGAAAGGTATGAATTGAAGACATTGGGATGAAAGTTGGAACTTTACTTCAAGTAATTCCCATTATTATTCAAGATATATCATCGCAGAACTTACAAAAAAAAAAAAAAAAAAAAAAAAAAACTTCAGTCGATGAAATGAAGATAAAATAGAAATTAAATTTTGTGCTAGCCTTGTATCGTAAGATTAAGGAGTACGTAAATTAAACAAAAACATATTTACTATGGCGCAAAGCACTTTACTATTGTTATTATTGATACACAAGCTAATGGAACGAGTACTTGCATGAGACTGACAATAATGGCTGTTTCAAATCAAAAATATTACAAATAAAAAATTTTTTTTTTGTAATCATCGTTAGTGGTGGTGGTCCTGCACTGAATTCCTCGTTGGTGAAACGTTCATTAATGACACGGTATTGTTTGTCATTAGTTTATTGGTCAACAACTTTATTAGAGTTCGAGTTAATTTCTTTTTCCAAACTGGATTATTTGTCTCCTTAGGATTATTATTCGACGATACTACAGCAAGCATTATAATTAATAAATTCTTGCCTTTAGAATTTAAATCAGAATTTCAATTAGGCAATTCACCTATGTTTTGTCCATCGTTCAAGTTCATTAAAAAGAATAAATGATAAACTCACGGAAGTTCAATTTTTTTTTGATGAATATTATAAATTCGTTTCAAATAAAGTATAACGCCCTTATGCATGTTTATAAACAATAAACTTTACTGTTTTAAACCAATCTTGTTCGGTAGAGAAAAGATTGTTTTCAAAGAATCTTTTTTAGAAGATATCCTAATTCTTGATTTATGCCTTGTTGAAGCATAATTAAAAATTCAATTAATTTTATTTTTTTTTTGTAAAGACGATAAAAAAAAAAAAAAAATTTTCCGAGTAGAAATTATATTTTATTTATTTGAAAAATATGAGACTCTGAATAAATCATGACAAGAAAAATCAGGTAAAGTCTAATCCTCCTCTTGATCAAATTTTAAAGAAAAGCCCTCCTTCTTGAAATAAACGTGTAATCTGCATCAAATTTTCTCATAAATTCCATTCCTAAAACATTTATTTCACCGAAGTGCGATTTTGTTGGTGTCATCATAACTATTATGAATTCATGCATGCATGTTAGCAGACCACACATTATCGACAGACATAGTTCATTGGAGATTCAATATCTACGGGAAAGTGTACAATCTTGATCTTCTTCCGATTTTACCATCACTGCGAAAACGTCAGTGGTGGATACCGTTGGTTTGTAACTTAAAATAAATTCACGAAATGTTTAAACCATGACAATTACTTAAGGAATCACGGAGAGGACGTCAAAAATTATTCTCAATATAAACTTAAAATAACTCAAAGATATTTCCAATATCATACAAAAAGTATATAAATAATAAATAAATTTCAAAGGGTCACGAAAGATTTCAAATATATATACAAAATTTTATCATAGCAACCTAGTTTAGGGTAATTTAAAGAATAGTTTCGAAGAATCCATCATTACTAATAAATATTTTCTAAATTGGTCGTCTTTTATTTTCTAAGCTCTACTTTTGAAAGTATATTACCATTATAAACTAGATGATTTAATGTAAAAAAAATTAAAAATGAAATTTGTTCAAGTAACACAAACTTTATAAACTTTTAAATTAGATATTTTATCGAATGTCAATTTTTGACCCTGGCTTATGCTGTAAGGTATGAGTCCCTATTGTGGGTTACACTGCAATAGATCCTAGTTCAGTACCTGCCAAGTACAGATTGCAGTATTAATTTACTGCAGGTTTTACCAGTTCAATTCTGGGAATGAATTTCATAGGATGCGCACAAACCATGTGCGTTGAAGATCACGAACTTGTAGAATATGGTGAACCCGTGTGGTTACGCAAGTGACTACGTTACACAGAACCGATTGAGTTCGGAACTTGTATTAGGGGGCTGGCCTGTAATGGGCAAGTGCCGCA